ACTGGGACCCTGGGGCCTTCCGAGGTACGTCGGTGTGAAGAGCCGGTCCCGCAGAGGAGGTCGAGACCTCCTCTTCCTCCTCCTCCTCCTCCTCCTCGTCCTCCTCCTCCCAGAGGCCCGCCGCATGGAGTTCTTGAGTCAACGCAGGGCCCTCTTTCCCACACCCTTTCCAATCGCGCAGAGCTGGTCCACCGACGGCTCAGGAAATCCGTGCGTACCTCGGTTTTCGATACTCCTACTCTGCATTCTCTTCCACTTCCGTCCCTGCCTCCTCTTTCTCGTCCTCAACAATATGAATACTATGTTTCTTGGGCACTGGACAAATTCAAAACATGATTATTGCAAAACCCCTCCAGGGAACGACATCCGGAGACAAACATGTTCGCGCGGAAATGCATCTTGCCGAGGTTTTCGGACGCGCCTTCCAAGATTGACCAGAGTCTGAATACCATAGTGTCATAGCCTCGAGGGCACATCCCGAGTGAATTCCAGCCAGCCCAGACACCCCTCTGGCCTACAAGTGCGTAAACTCTTCCTCCACTGGGCCATGCTGCTCTCCAGCCAGCCCCCGCACAACTCTGTGAGCCTTCTCTCCAGGTGCGCCGTGCCAAATCTGAGTTCATCTCATGGTGGCAAGCCGCGCCTTTTGTTACCGCGACAGTCTGTGCTGTGCGTGGCAGAGGGGTCCACGCGCCAACCGCCTCCGCGTGCGGGCCTGTGAGTGGTGAAGCAGGTGCGAGGCGCGCCACATGTGGAAGCGCTGCGATCCGGCCACCGGCTCTGCTCATCGAGTGACTGCTTTCCTTGTTGGAAAGGTGGCAGAGCGGCAAAAAACACAGGCCAAAATGTGCGGCGCGTAGTGGCGCGCTCTGATCACTCCCGTCACCCGACCCATGCTCCGACATTGCTCCCTACATCGCTGGAACACGCCACCAATTGTAAGCGTGGAGCAAGCCTCGAATTGAACCCATCCTGACGGAAACTGCGCTCAACATGCTGCCTGTTCTGGCGACTACTAGCTGACTAACTTTCAGACAAGGGCTGCCTCAAATTAGTCAGCACCCCTCCTACTCTGCTAACGTGCTTCTGGCACGTAGTCGGGTGCCCTCAGACCCTTGATCGCCCTTGGCATTGCTAAACGATTCTGAAGGGCGCGCGACCTCACCCTCCCGACCGCTCTAGGGCGCCATCGTGGGCGCCAAGTGCGGGCTCATCGTTCCCAGCGCAGACCTCGCCTCAAGTGGCCCTTCGGTGCTGAGGGCCCCGCGTGGCTATGACTGCGCCGGCCGCAGGCCCTCGAGGGTCGTCCTGGGCGTCCTGGCCCTCGGGGATCGCACGGGGCACCCTGCCCCCCCTTCTCCGTGCTGCTCTACCTGGCTACGTTCGGTCGTGCCTTGGCCCTGCTCTGCCTGACTCTGTGCTGCCCCGAGGCGCTCTGATGTGCCGTGCCTTGCCCTGCCTCCGCTTCTTCGGCTCTGCTTTGATGAACGACGTGATGCTCAATATCATGACATGCTGCGCCGTGGTATGCTACACCATGGGACGACACGCAATGGCACGCCGTGCGAAGCCAAGCCAAGCCACGATATTGCATTGCTAGTGCACATAATGCGCTGCAACATTAATCTATCATATGCTACACTATGCCGTGCAATGCGGTATGTAGCCTGTCGTGCTCTGCACTGCTTCGCTATGCCATATAATGGCGTGCCATGCTAGGCTACGCAACGGATCGTTAGTGTCTACCATATACTGTTGTACGCGATGCTATCTGTTATCCGACAGACGCAACACTGTTATAAATACACGCGTTTTCATGACGTACCACGCGATGCCATGCTAGTGTTCGATGATGCGCGACGCAGTACCATGCTACGCATGCGTGCACAATGCTACAAGAAGCTGCCCTGTATGAACCATTGCTATGCTACCTACGCCTATCGCTGATACGCCGTATCACACCATGGCGATTTCATATGCTACTCCAAACCATACCACTTTGCGCTAAGCATCGTGTTACGCGCGATGGATCGGTGTACCTGTAACAGTTCAGACTCCGTCATCCAATGCTGTGCCAAGCTGCACAGCGCAATGCTATATTACGCCATGCCACGGCATGCTCTGCAATATTCCATGTCGTGCTGTGCCATGCTGCGATATGCTACGCTTTGCTTTGAGTTTCCTTGTCATTCGACGCTAGAGGGCCGCGATGGGCCGAGCGGAGCTATGCTAGGCCTTGCTATGAGATCCTGTGCTGTGCATTCAACGTCGTGGCGTTAGGTGTCATCGCATCGGGCTCGCGTCCTGTCGCGTGGCAATTCCGAGGCATGCTGTCCCCGCATGCTCTGCACAAGCCTCTCGGCCCATGTCAGCGCCACCACCCTTCATCGCCACCATTCGTTCGGACGGTCCGAAAAATGCCCGACGCGACCTCGGACGGCACCCAGGGCGGCCCAAGAGGGCTCCAGATGGCGCCTTAAATTGCCTGAGGGGAGCCCACGAAGGGCCTTAGACGGCCCCCGACAGATCAGGGAACATTGTGTTTTCAGATTTGTTGTGTCTGTTGACTGGACGAATGAGTGTAGCGACCGCAGCGATGCAGGTTCCGAAACTCGTCGTTGGTGATGAGCATGGCGACGGGCACGGCGGTCACGGCGCAGATGGCGGGGATCCGCTGGCGGAAATTCCGCGTAAGCTTGCAGGATTGAACGCTGACCGTGCGCTTCGGGCCAAGATGGCAACAGCTCCCACATGGCCGCAGACGCGACCAAGAGGGCCCAAATCCATTGCTCATGGCTTTTGGGGTTTAAGCTGTTCTTGACTCTACGAACGCCTCGGATATACGAAACAGTCACCAACTGAGTCCAAAGAGGGCCCGATATTACCCTAAAGTGACCCACGACTGCGAAAGGGAGCCACCGAAGGAGCCCAGAAAAGGCCCAAGAGAGTCCCAAGACTGAGTCAGAGGGCCCCAACACATCAAGCAGAGACCGCCGAGACCGACCACGAGGACCCCAAGATAGTTCAAGAGAGCCTTAAGGCGGTCCAAAATTGCCCCACAAGTACAGATGATGACCCCAAGAGGCAAGACTGCCCCAACAGGTCCCCAAAATATCCCAAGACGGCCCGAGAGGGAGCTCGCCAAGAAGACCAAACGACACCACGACCAGCCCACGAGGCTATATGAGGCCCCATGACGCCGTGTGAGAGGCTTCAGAGAGGCTCGGGGCCTGCGTTTCGGCCTCAGCGGGCGGCGGTCAATCGCCAGTGGGCGTCTTCGATATACACTTCTGCGCAACCCTTGGCTCAAATGATATGCAACATCCACCCTGATTAGCAGGAGGCGCTGTTCCATGCAGAGCTGCTGCTGCTCGATGGCGAGCACACGAGAGAGGGGAAGAGAGCTCTCAGTGCACGGCCGTCATGCTGAATGGCCAGGCTCGGGCCTACGCAGCGGCGAGATCCAGGTCGAGGTAGCGGGCCCCCTCCTGCGCGTCCTTGGAGAAGCAAGCGAAGCCGCACAAACATTGACTTTTGCAGCTCGCGCGGATTGCTTGGATCGGCGCCGGAGCGCCCGCGGAGCGCGCCAGGGGCGGCCGCGCTGGAGGCGCCGCCTGGGGGGGTCCCAGCGCAGATAGAAGAAATCTGCGCGGAGCTCCGAAAATTGTTGTTTATGCCGTTTTCTCGAGGCCTCTCAGGAGGCCCGAAAAGAGGAAAACGATGGAAGGGCGGCGGCCTCGGTCGGGGGCGCACTGACCCGGGTCGGCCCAAACCCAGGCCAACCAGGGCCACGTCGCGAAGCCCGGCCGGCCGCCGAGTAGCTCCCAAACGTCGGGGCCAGCGGAGGGCGGAAAGGGGGAATCAGCCCCACGTGCCTCCCAAGCCTGGGTCAGCCAGAGGGGAGTGGCCGACCACCGTTCGCGCTGACCCCGTCAACAGACATGCGGTATCTGGATGGCTGTCCATATGCGGGGCCCGCAGAAGTTCCAGACCCTTTTATCAGAGCCGGGGTTTCACCCAGAAGAGTTGTTCAACGGTCCCGGGCCCCCGGAGGCCGAAAGCGGCACAGAGCCTCCCGTCTTGGCACGCGAGCCCCAGCCATCATGGGCGTGCCTTACTGGGGGGGGGGGCTGTAACTGGGGGTGGGGGCCAAGAAACGTCCACCTGTCGTGCCCCTTTTGGACCCCAGGAGGCCCTTTTAGGGCCCCTGGGGTGCACGAAAAGGTGCACCTTTCTTCGACCCCCCACGTATCGCCACCTCATCACGCAACGCCCCGACCGAGGGGAAGCGCGCTGTGTCCGGCCAGAGGCCGACCTGCGTGGGGCGGAGAGCAGGGGCCGTGGCCCCCAGCCCCCCTAGCCCTCACTTGAGGTTGTACTTTGCGAGATCCTCCAAACCGCCCCCGTCTCCTGGGACATACTGCACCTTTGCTCCCCCCCATGTGATCGCCCCCCCCCCCACCGCAACGCCCGAGCATCGGTGCCCTGTCCTACCCCGAGGTCCTGCCACATGGCCCGGACGTCCCCCGGCGGCAGGCAGTCCACGGCCCGCCCGTTGATGCGCAGCAGGCGGTCCCCGACCGCCACGCCGTGCCCTGCGGGCGCGTGGCGGCTGTCGATCTTGCGGACTCGGGCGCCACCTCGGCGGCGAGCCCCAGGGGGAAGTTGACGATGACGATGGCGATGACGATGACGTCAGCATCGTCATCGACATCGTGATCACTGTCATCGTCATCGCCATTATCGTCAGCGTCATCGTCGTCATCATCGCCGTCCTCATCATCGCCGTAGTCATCGGCATCGTCATCATGGGGGGCAGGCCTTCTCAAAGGCGGATGGGCTTCTCTGAAACCCTCCCGCACCATGAGAAGTGTCCTGAACCTTCTCCGAAAGCAAGCCCGCCGCCTTCCGAGAAGGCCTGCCCCCTCTCACTTCCCCACTGGGTTCGCCGCCGACCACCCTCGCGGGGGAAGGCCCATATGAGGGACCGCACCGCCCTCTCATCCTCGAGATCCGTCGGGACCCCTCGGGTTGCAGGCGTGGGGATCATGAGCTGGGAACCGAGCACATCTTTGGCAGAAAAAAATGTTGGAGCAAGACGTGCTGCTTTGACCAGAACCATGTTTCGGCCTGAACATTTGTTGGACTGGATTTCTGTCAGCCCCCAACAATTTGTTCGGTCCAGTGACACATTCGGTTCCCCGGAATGCCGTTGGAGTAGACATGTTCCCAGAAAGAAGCAACACAAAAACACAATGGTCCGAGCTCCTCGAATCCAAACGAGGCTCCAAACATGCTTTGTTGCTGGTCTGGTCAGCGCGGTGTTTCGGAAGCGGAAGGAGGAGCTGAGGGGACGAAGCGAGCACACGACGAACGCCCAGCAAGTGCGTACAGTGAGCAACTGGGGGAATCCCCGATACGAAAAAGCTCAAGGTCCGTACCGGCGCAGCAGGGGGGGTAGCCTCCCAGGCAGCTCAGGAGGCCACCGAGACTTTCGGGAGCGCACGCGGGGCCCCGAAAGCTCCCCCGAGAGCGCCCAAGGATAGGCCCGAGACGATTGCTATCGCTGCAACAGAACCGTGTGCTTGCACACGCGCTTCGCTGTCCAGGTCCTCCGGTCCAGGATGGCTTCGGGATTGCGCCACCAGGCCAAAGACAGCCTCAAAGGACCCCAAGAGAGTCCAGGCCCAACATGGACACCAGAGAGAACCCGAGCACGGCCCAAGAAGGCCCCCAAGAGGCCAGGTCCACCCCAAGATCAGCCCAGGATAGCCCAAGACGGCCTTGCGACGGCCCACATACGAAACAGAAGGGCCCATCAAGAGGGCAAAACGACCCAGGAGGCCTTATGACTAACGGCCGCAAAACAACCTAAGAGAGACTTCGGAGCTCAAGAGAGGTCCCAGACTACCCAACCATATGAAATCTAGATCGCTTCGTCGTTGAACTCGAAGAAATTGCGTATGTCCAAACAACTGTTGTAATCCCCCCCGTAACGTCCGTGACAGTGGGGGGGTATCCGGCCGCTGTTGGGGATAACGGTAACAATAACGGTAACGTGGCGGGCTCGGGCATGGTACTAACAGTCGTGATGGTGGTAGCAGTACTAGCAGTAGTAGGATTACTGGTAGGGGGCCACGAAGACGACGACGACGACCACCAGCAGCGACGACAGCGACAACGACAACGGCAAGAAAAATGACGACAACGACGACGACCACCACAATGACTGGCCAGGACGTCGACGACGACGACGACGTCCAGCGGCGGCGGCGGCGACGACGACGACAAGTGGCGACGACAACGGCGACAGGCGGTGACGACGACAAGTGTCGGCGACAACGAGCTAGAACAAGAGAAGTAAAAGAGAAGCAACAACAGGAGCGGAAACAGTGGTAGCACTAGCATAAAAAGTAGCCGTAATAGTAGCACTGCTAGTCGTAACAGTACTAGTTGCCCTACTGATGCCTCTACTTCTCTAACACTACCGCAACCACGATTCCCACTAGTGATACTGCAGCTGCAACTACAGCGGCTACTCATACGACTACTTCTACTGATGATAGCACTCTTACGTAGAACGACGTAATTGTACACATCGTGTTAGTAGCGGCAGTCAGCAAACATACGACGATTAACCGTAGTCGCAGTAACGTGGTAGGCATGAAATTAGTATGATGTTTCATGCGGTGTGGAAGTAGTTGCCGAGGTAATTGTTGAAGTCATAGTAGAACTGGTCGTCGTAATAATAATGGTTGTAGTAGTAGTAGTCGTAGTAATAGTAGTAGTAGTAGTAGTAGTAGTAGTAGTAGTAATAGTAGTAGTGGTAGTAGTAGTAGTAGTAGTAGTAGTAGTGGTAGTAGTAGTAGTAGTAGTAGTAGTGGTAGTAGTAGGAGTAGGAGTAGGAGCAGGAGTAGGAGTAGTAGTAGTAGTAGTAGTAGTAGTAGTAGTAGTAGTAGTAGTAGTAGTGTAGTCGTCGTAGTAGTAGTAGTAGTAGTAGTCGTAGTAGTAGTAGTAGTAGTAGTAGTAGTAGTAGTAGTAGTAGTAGTAGTAGTAGTAGTTGTAGGAGTAGGAGTAGTAGTAGTAGTAGTAGTAGTAGTAGTAGTAGTAGTAGTAGTAGTAGTAGTACTAGTCGTAGTGGTAGTAGTAGTTGAAATAGCACTAGTAGTAGTAGTACTAGTACTAATCGTAGTGGTAGTAATAGTAGTAGTCGTCGCCGTCGCCGCCGTAGTCGTAGTAGCTGAAATAATATTATTCGTAGCCGTAGTAAGGGTAGAAGTAAAAGGAGTGAAGGTAGAAGTAGTAGTAGTAGTAGTAGTAGTAATCGTTGTACCAGTAGTAGCTGTAGTAATAATAGCCAGTAGTAGTAATAGAAGTAGTAGTAGTAGTAGTAGTAGTAGTAGTAGTAGTGGTAGTAGTAGTAGTCGTGGTAGTAGTACTAGTAGTAGTAATGGTCGCCGTCGTCGTCGTAAAACGAGTCATCGTAGATGTATCCTGGGGAAGATGAGTAATAGTGGTAGTAGTCGGCGTCGTAGCACGAGTACGAATAGCTGTGGTTGTTGTAGACGTAGTAATCGCAGAAGTAATAGGACTAGTCGTAGTACTCGTCGTAGTAGTAGTAGCAGTAGTAGTAGTAGTTTTCGTATGTCGTAGTCGAGGTCGTAGTGCTCGTAGTCGTAGTACTAAGAGTTAGAAGCAGTAACATTAGTAGTGGCAGTAAAAGTTGCAGTAGTAATCGTAATAGTGGTAGTACGACTGGTTTGAAGTAGTAGTAGGAGTAGGAGTAGTAGTAGTAGTGGCGGTGGAAGTCGCAGTAGTACTCGTAGCCGTAGCCGTCGTGAGGGTAATAATGGTCGCATTCGTCGTGCTAATGCTAGCAGTATGCCATCGCCGTCGTAGCAGCACGGGTAATCTTGCGAGACATAATGATACCAATAGTTGTGGTAATAGTAATAGTCGTCGTCGTCGTCGTTGTAGTAGGAGTACG